GGCACCATCAGCTTTCTTCGCCACATTTGCTTATGCACCCATTTGTCTTCAGTGATCCTTTCAACAACTCGTGATCACACAGGTTGATATGTTGTTCCATGTGGGCTTTGTTGCTTCTGAGCTAGATGGCCTTTGACAACAAACAGCAGAAGTTAGAGCTCTGAATTGTAAACTGAGATCTCATCAATACATACTGGTATTTCTGTGAATTCTGCCTTTGGATAAATGGTGAAACATAGACCAAGCCAATTCCTATGAAAATAAGGCATGCTCAGATACATGAAGGTTCCATAGAGTCTGTGCTTGGTGGTCCCTAAAGAAATGCTGACAAGGTGGTGGAAACCACAGCTTTTGAGAGGAAAACATCACTGACTTCTCTCTTTTGCATCTGCTGAAATCACGGCCTGTTTCCGGAGGTTTGTGTCTGGGCTCACATTGACTTCCCATCACTGTGTCTCTAGCACAGTAATACATGGCAGTGTGCTCAGGAATCACAGAGCTCAGTTTCAAATAAACTTTGCCCTTGGATGTGTCCTGGGTGATACTGACACGGGATTGGAGAGCTGAATTATATCTTGTGGCCCCAATACTCCATATTGCACCAACCCATTCCAGTCCCTTTTCTGGAGCCTGGCGGGTCCAGTACACGTCAGAGCTGGTTAAAGAGAATCCAGAGACAGTGCAGGTGAGAGACACAGTCTGTGAGGGCTTCACCAGTCCAGGGCCTGACTCTTGTAGCTGCACCTGGGCCAGGACACCTGGGGATAAAGAGAAACACAGAGAGTCATGTGCTCAGATGCTGCATCCCCAGACTTCATGTGTGAACCCCTGAAGCACTCACCTCCCGGAGTCCCCAGCAGAAAGAGGAAAATCCACCCACAATTCATGTTCATGTGGATAAGATTCATGACACCCAGAAAATGCTCTCCAGGGTGAGAAGGAATAAGAATTTAAGTACATGCATGCTGTGGTTTCATGGGACTGGTATTTGCATGTGGGAGGTGCATGGTATGTAAATGTGGAAAGGGCTGAATGGAGCCCCTGCCTCTGGGACTCAGACTATTAAAGCGATGCTGGTGGAGTTCTTGGGAGAACGCAGTCCTCTCTGTGAGGTCTTCACTCTACCGATCATATGAACATCTGTGCGGATTTCATGTTCAATGTAACTTTATGTGCATTCGCATCAAAAGTACCCAAATGATCTATTGAAATTAAAGACCATCTCTATCCTCACCATGTTTGGAATCAAGACCAGGTCAACCTGAACCTTTTCATACATCTGAACACACAGGGAAAAAAGTGTATGTCATCCCAAATTCTTCTTTCTCCTATTACGTTTCACAATATTTGGAAAGAAGTAAAAAATACTTTAATGTTATCTTCTATATTTAGAGTTGGAATAAAAAAAGTGTCCTAACAGCAGGGTTATTTGTGAGGTTAAAATAAACCACAGAAATAAGAAGTTCAGTTTTCCTCCATGAATTAGTACCCAGGGTGGGTGTTGGGCTCAGTGTCTTCAGAGAGCCCCCTGCTGACAGCATCCTGTCACATACAGGGGAGGTGTTTCCTGGGCTTACACTGTCTTCCAACTTCTGTGGGTCGCACAGCAACATTTCTTCTGGTCATAAGCATTTGGACTATTGATCAGGAGTGTTACCTGGAGTTGTCTCTGCAGGTTTCCTGCCATGGGCAGTAGAGCTACCACAGTGGTCAGCGCAGCAGTTCTAGCTGACCAGGCACTGCTGTCCTTATCCAGGCTCCTGTCTCACATTTTTCTTCCCTTGGTCCAGAGCCAGTGGGTCCTTAGCACCCCTGCAGGACAGCTTTCTCCATAAGACTGGTTTTATGCCTGAGCTCACACTGACTCTCCCTCACTGTGAACACCTTTAGACATAGAGAGTGCTATACGTGGCAATCACTCTGACTTGGTTCCAGTGGATGGAAGTATGATCTATAGATATTTATATAGATATTGAGATTGAGTTGAGAGATATCCCACAATAAAATACTGATTTTCAAAAATCTGGCTGAAAGACAATGAGGGCATTGAACAGAGTTTAGGCTGCTTTCATTCCAGAGGAAGAGGAAAAGTACTTAAATCAGAATTCTATTCAAAACAATTGAAACAAGAAATTTACAGAATGATTTATTCCATGCTAAAGTGTGGAAGGGTTAAGTCAGAGTTCTTTTCTCAATTTCTATTAGGTGTGACAGGAAATTAACAGATGTGGTTATCATTAAAACAATGATAAATCTAATGCCACTGAATTATGCATGAAAAGAATGTTGAAAATATTTTTGCATATATATGTACCATGAGAAAAATAAGTTAAAAATAAATGACAG